TGTCAAGAGATATACCCTAAAAGAAATCAAGATGAAAAAAAAAAGTTTCTAAATGAGCCATTCAGCCTTGAAGGCAAACAGCTGGCAACATCTCAATTTCTGAAAAAAAAAATAGGAAACCCAGGTGTGCCCTTTGAAGTTCCTTTCTTACTGACTGATATCAAAAGGGAAGAGCATATGAATGTACATCAGCACATATTGGTCTCTGCAAAATTATAACTATGTCCCCATTTTTCATGAGTTCTAGCTGTTATTTGCTGATGATCAGTGCAAGTATGTGGATGGGATGAGCTGACAGAATATTGATTTTGTGTCAAAAATAATACCTGTGATGAGTGTGGAGAAACAATTAAACCAACTGCACAACCAGCTTTTGGATTTCTGTGTGTCTCTTCATAAATCATTTGGGACTTACAGATTTTAGAGGCCATATTCTACTGTGATAGTTATGTTCAGACAAGATTATTTATTTGACATCCTAATAAATATTAAACTCTATAGAGTTTAAATACTATTAAATACTATGGAACAAATGTCTTGAACTGTATTTAAGGCTTATTTATTTATTTTCCTTTCAGTGCCTTTTTTCTTTAAGTGGTTCTCATGCTGATTAAAATTTGGTGGAACATCTAGAGATACCAAGTCATTGTTATTGGCATTATAAAACTGGATTTCACAAGATTCCAAAAGAAGAATTACAACTCTGTAACCAGAATGCATTATTTGCTAGTGTGTGTGTGTGTGTGTATAATATTAATAGTTTTATTAATAGCTAGCATGAGTAGGTTGTCCCCAGTTTTCCTAAAAATAGAAGTTGTAATTTAAATTTTCATTTGTGGAGTTTTGGCATTTGTGCTAGTCTTCTAAATAGAATACACTGTGAACCCATCTTTGTCCTTTTTATACTGTAGAAGGAGTTATTATTGCCTTCTTGATTGCTTAGTCTAATTTACAGCTCTTTTATTTCCTGGATGTCTTTCATTTAAGTTCTAAAGTTAACGATCTTGATGCTGCTTTAGTTTCTTACTCCAGATAAGGTCCCATTGGGGCTATTACTTACTCACTGTAGCCTCATAGATTTCGTTTATATATACTTAGCTCCAGTGCTTTTTTTCTAAAAAAAAAAAAAAAGGTGCCGGAACTCACACATGTCATACAACCCACTTTGCGTACCCTACAAGGTGCCACCCAAAAAAGGTGCCGGAACTCCGTTCTGGGCGTTCTATGACAAAAAAAGCCCTGCTTAGCTCTGTCACATGTTGAATATCTAGAAATATGACAGTGGAAATCCCTGAGAAAGCATTTTTCCCTTAGGGCAATGGTGGTGAACCTATGGCACGGGTGCCAGAGGTGGCACTCAGAGCCCTCTCTGTGGGCACGCGCACCGTCGCCCCAGTCCTAGGCTTTCAGCTGGGTTTTATAAAACCTTTTCGCTTTAGGCCTCCGCCGTGTGCAAAAAAAAAAAAAGGTTCAGTTAATCAGTCAATTTCAACTTCTTGCGGGGAAAAAAAAAGATCTTGCAAAGTTTGAATTGATTGATTGAACTTTTTAGTTCCACCCAGTCTGCCGTTACCACTGCAGCCACGCCCACCCAATGGGCCACACCTAGCCAATGGCCACACCCACCCGGCACCCGACGATGCATAAGTGGGTTTTGGGTTGCAGTTTGGGCACTCGGTCTCTAAAAGGTTTGCCATCACTGCCTTAGGGATATGAAAAATATTTTGACCTAGAAATGGCCATTTTCCTGTGGCTTGTGATAGGGATTTTTTTTTCAAACTGGTGGGAGTGAAATGTTGAAAGGAAAGAAGAAATTATAAACACAGGACTAAACGAAGAAGACTGATAGCAGATGGTTAAATACCAAATCTGCCTGGCAAGTCTTTTTTTTAAATCTTCACTATGGGGAACATAGAGTTTGCATGGCTGGATGAGTGGGTTACTTGTGTCTTTTGCTATACTTTGCAGACTGGCAATGGAAACAGATTGCTAATGTTGTCAAACTTATAATCTTGTAAAGATTTCTGTTAGAATGTTGGCTTACTTAGGTTATTAAGATTTGGTTGCAAATGCACTTTGCACACTATTATGTCTAGTCAATGTTTATCTTTCAGCAGCACTTAAAAATAAAAAATTATGGATGATTTCTAGACCTTTGCTGTCTACCTGATTTTGTAAAGCAAATGGACTGTCAAAATAATAGCCCAGAAGATTTTTTTTAAAGTCAAATCATTAAGAAAACATAATAGGAATCAAAGTATGATTTGTCTCTTTGGTTTGAAATTACAGCCAGTTCTTTGTCTTCAGATGCCTGTGCTCCAAACTGGGAACATGGACATTGGTTCCTAATCACAATGACACCAAAATCCTCAAATGTCATTATAAGCACCACTCATTTTCACACCACCCATTTTCACTAGCCTTGTAAAATTACACGCCAGTGCATAAGGGGCAAAGATTCCAATACGTATTTTGTGATTTGTGTTGCCTCTCCCTTTAGCACCTTTGATTGGAAGATAAACTAATTAAAAGAAATGCAGTATTAAAGAGAGATGTTGATTTCTTTGTCCCATAATCTGTTGGCTAATTGGATCATATTTTGTTGTCTTGAAAATAGACCAGTTCATGGAAGTGATTTTAATGTCCCTTCTTTCCAGATGTGAAGAAATGTGAAGTTATAATATTGCGATATAAAATTTATTTCAATTTAAATTGTTTTATACTATAACATTTTCTAAAAATTCATGTTTTAAAATGTTGAAAACAATATTTTGCTTATATGTAAAACATATAACAATGTAACAATATAATCTTATATATAGCAATAGAACAAAGGGAAACAATTTTGCCATTATTAACTATAAAAACTTTACCAAAACTGCTTTTATATTTCTGGTGTCATTATAGAAACAAACAGCTCATTCTTTTATCAACATCAGCAAACCTGTTGAAAAGGCTAATGTGCAAATTTAAAAGCTTACCCTGTATGCCCCACAATAAAACACATTACACACTTAAACAAATAGAATAGATGCCTTTAACCTTTTAAATAAGAGCTGTTTATAAACTGAAAAAGAATCTAAGGAAAACATGTCAACATGGCTAAAAATATTTATATTCACTTTTTTCCATTATTTTTTCTTGTTTTATGTAGAATATTACAACGCAATTAAGGATACATTCAGAAAAGTGAAAATGACTTTCTGTTTTCTGAGGCAGATTGAAAACCTTTTAGAGTGGATTGCTCAGAAGATCCAAAAGCAAAGGGAAAATTAAAATCTTCTTTCCCATCTTGAAAAACCTGAGCAGAAGGAAGTGTTGGAAATGCAAATGTAAATGAGTCTTCATTATCCATTTTTCCAAAGAAATCTCCTTGAACAGAATAATATTCTGAATTAGCATTTGATACAGTATATATCAATAACATATGAATATTGATTATAAGCCATTATTAAAATAAAAAATAAAAGAGGACACCATTGTTAATCATAACATTGGATTTGAAATTCTCCAGAATATATAAATTGGGAAGATGGCATTAGCTCCTGGATGGAGTTCTTTTTAAAATATTTTTGTTAAAAGAGTAAAGTCATAGTCTGGCTCTCAAAGTAATTTATGAATAGACAACAGCTAGTCACAACATATTTCTACTATGAAAACTTACCAATATCTTTGTGTGGAGAAATTGGATTTATATTTCCAGTAGAGCAGCTTTCACCTGACTAAAAGACCAAGTGAATTCATTAGAAAATGGCACAGTAGGTATATGTATGGGCAAACAGGATAAGAAATGAGATAAGAGCATACCCAGTGGCACACTCAATAATACTAAGGAAGAACTCATTAGCTTTATTCATGGGGGGGGTCACAGCATCAATCAGAGAACCTCTGCAACAGGCCTTGTTGTTTTAAAATGTGTTTAATACCTCTCTAACAAATTAAAGATGATCAACACAGCTTGTGGAAGCAAATCCATAGTTAATTATGTGGGGTTATTTTTCTGACCTGAATTATTCAGCTTAATTAGTGGTCCCATACTCCAATTTCTTTCTAAGCATGTCCTATGCACCAGGAATAATTATTTGCATTTCCATCCTATCCTTTGTTTTCTCATATTTTTCCTAAATGATTGATTGATTGATTGATTGATTGATTATTATTCCATCAAGTTACTATGTAACCACTTAGTGACCACTTATATAGACTTTCTCCATGACAGGTCATCTTTCAGATCATCCAACAGTGCACTCTGGAGAAGGCTATTCAGATGTTTTAGGGATTTCTTGACTTCTTTACCAGGACTCCAGATCACAAAAATGGCATTCAAATACGAGCCAGATAGATGGTTTTAAGGGTTCAATATCCCATGCCCTTTGAATTTCTTCATGTAGAAATTGGCTATGCCTAGGCTAAATTGGTTCCCCATGGCAATTCCCACATTTTGCTCATAAAATTCATTGTTGTATTGTATGTAACTGGACATGAAGCAATGATGGAAGAGGTTTGTGGTATCTTCAGAAAATACTCTCTTAATATATAGTAATGTCTTCTTGAATTATGCTGATAAATTGATTAGTTTGATGTGGTCTCCTTGATCTTTGGTGAAGAATGAGACCACATCAAAACGAATCAATCTATCACCAGAACTGAGTGTACTGAGTTTCTCAACTGAGTTGAATCTTTGTAACTGCACATTGAACAGAACACAATAACAGGATATAAAGAAAGGCAAATGAAGAACATGAGCATAACATAAACAGTAATGCTAACTTGCATATATAATCAAGTATAAATAGGATAATGTACCATCTGTCTATGGAGATTCT